AAAACGGAAAAGGCATGGAACTACATTTTTGATATTTTATATATCAATAACCATGCCTGCAGACGATATTGATACCAATGATTGATACAAACAAAATTATATTAACTTTATTGCCCAAGGCTGAATTTTCACGCTGAAAAAGCGTTACTAAATTGCTACATTTTAGTCTCTAATTTAACCACTAATGCCACATTTTTGAATTCTATTATAAATGACAACCAAACAACCTTCCATTGATGTGCAAGAATATTTGCGTCATTATTATATATGCTTTGGAAAATGAAAGTGCGAAAAATCATACAAAATTGTACATGTACCCTTCCAAAAACCACACTATATTTGCGTTTAAATACGCATTCACTAAACACTCTGTTTATATTATTAAATACTTAAAGAAAAGAGCGAGTTTTTTTAATTGAGATTTAGATATGGCGATTATGAGCTTATGCTCAAAATGAGTTCAAATTTCAAAATGTCTATATTTTTACGTTTAAATACTGCTGCAAACTAAATACCATTGCCCTTAATTAAAACTACAAATAATTTGATCACAAACCGACAAACGTGTTCAAAAGACAACATACAAAACGACAACAAAAATTCAAAATGGCATCGACTTTCTTTCCCAAAAGTTAAAGCCAGATTCAAACGATTATAAAATAAAATTATATGATAAAATTCTTTAAAAAAGTACGCTTACCATCTTGCGACACATCTTCTTTCTCTGAGTGGAGTTTCGCCCGAATGTTAGTTTCAGTGGCATTAAAAAGATCATTTTCTTTAGTAATATTGGCCACAAAAGTCGCTGGTCGAAGCACCAAGGGAATATTTATGCTAGAACTTCGGTTGAGTTGACTACGACTACTCGTACTAACCGAATCGTCAGCAGTTGGGGCCTTGGCATTGGCCTTGGTTGGCGCCATTTTAGATGAAAGTCAGTTAGTATTAACCATCTATGGTATTAACCGTGGTTAATTAGTCACTAACCACGGTTAAAAGTCAGAGCATGAAAGTAGAAACTAGAGACTCCGAGCAGTCCCTCTTTTCCGTGGGTACTGCTAGCGGTCTAAGCAAAAACCCAATATCTATTCTATATTTCTGTGGTAGAAACTTAGAGCCTGTTCATATGGGCAAAAGTTATCCCGGTTAACGAGAAAACGTTTCGACTAGCCAAATACTTTTGCAAGCTCCTCTTGGATTTTACTACATCCCGGGCGTTCTTTGTCAGTGCCCGCGATCACAATTAGTATTATCAGCGGTATATGATGATAACATCGAGTGTTTCCTGAAATCACAATGTTTGAAAGAAAACATCTTAGAAGCCAAATATAAATTATATAATACTCGATGTGAATTTATAACTTGATTAAACTGTAACAGTTTGTCAGCATGTTAATCTATATTTCAAGATATCAGTTTGCTTCTAGTCAGTTTATTTGATCCAGACATATTGCCTTTTAATTTTTTGACAAAACTGTTTATGTTTTAGCACTAGTTTCACAGATCTTATATGAGCTAGTAACATTTATAGCAGCTCAAATAAAAAATAACCAAGTGACTGGACAGACGGGAGTTATTTCGTATTTTGTAGCAATATAAAAACTTTTGTTTGCGGTAATCTTCACCAAGTTTGCCGTTAGCTCAAGCGGTAAAGGTGCTGCGTACCGGAAGTGAAACGCAGTCGGGTTCGGGATCGATGCCGAACATTTATTATCTGATTTAGCTCTTTTTCTCAATTTTTTTGTAATTTTTTTCTTCCTTCCGTTTTTAACTCTTAAAAGTTAGGCCGGTTAGTGTTTGGGATCGGTATAAAATCTAAAGTGCTTTAAAAAAGTTTTAATCTTTTTTTATCTGGTTGAAAATGTTTGAATATTGAGTTGCGAACTCAACCGCTGGTAATTCTAATTGTGATCGCGGGCACTGACAAAGAACGCCCGGGATGTAGTAAAATCCGCTCCTCTTTGTCTCTGTTCATATGGACTATTTTCCATCCAGCAAACTGACCTGACGTCATTTTCGCTTCCGAGGTGTTTAAATGGCTTTATAATATAGTATTTGTAAATTCTGAACGCTGATTGGCTAAGAGCCGTGTTGATATAACTCCATGTCAACACGGGAAATTTTCCGCCGCTTGTAAACACGGAAATTTTTCTTATTCTTCGGGCTTTTGACATTGCTATATTATAAAAAAAATATAAAACATTTTTTCCGTATTGATATATAGTTATATCAACACTCGTGGAAGTTGGGAAAACTCGAAATTGTGTGAAAACACTCCGCCCTTCGGGCGCCGTGTTTCCACACAATTTCTCGTTTTCCCAATTTCCACTCGTGTTGATATAACTGTATATCAACACGGAAAATGTTTTATATTTGTTAAATGTAACTAACCCAAACCCTACCCCTACTCTAACCCCTAACCCCTAACCTCAACCCTAACTAACTCTAACCCTAACCCTAACCCTAACCGAATTAATAAAAAAATCCAAAAAGAAACGACTTTACAAAATCGATAGGGCGGTTTGCTGGATGGAAAAAAGTGCTAAAGTTTCTGGCTGTGACGTAGAGCAAGTGAACAATGGTGAACATCAATTGAATTGAAAAGTTGCTGACACGACAGAAAGTTATCCCGGTCACCGAGATCTCGCCTGTCAACAAGCGAGATCTCGGTACACGGGAAAACTTTTCTTTTTTTTGTGTTTTTTTTTGTGTTGTTTTTTTTTGTAACTTGTTATATTTGTTACGTTTACTTTGTAACCCTACTATTTTTGTTCTGTTCATATGAAGAAACGTTATCCCGCTTGCAGGCTAGGGTAAAGTTTCCGCTTGTGACTTAACCTGAGATCAGGCTTTATTTTATAAATATAGCCTGACACAAACCTTAATTCGATCGCTTTCCACTCACAGCAAACTTTATATTTAGTATATCCAATCAAAATGTCGCCGGAGAAATTTAAATTTCACACGACAACAATCTATAAATACACCCTTTCGTCACTTTGGCTATAGAGCCTCGTTTCCGTGTATCTGACATCAGTTAAAGGCCGCGTCTCAATCACGAAAACGAGGCTCTACAGCCAAGGTGATGTACTTTCCGGAAGCGTGCAGTGTATTGTAGTTGTGATGACTATAAAATAGCCGTTTTCACATTAGAAGACGGACAAGTCGTCTAGACGAACAAATCGTCTCAAAATCGTCTTTTAGTCGGACAAATCATCAGATGCGAAACGCGTCGGACAAAATTTTAGACGAACAACTCGTCTGAATTTGTTCGACTACTTGTCCGTCTGTCAAGACGATTTTTGAGAGAACGACTTGTCCGTTTCTAGGGCATGTTGTAAAACATGGACTGGACCTTGGACTGGACTTGTAAAACGTGGATTGAACTTGTAAAACATGGACTGGACTTGTAAGACATGGCGTCGACTTGTAAAACATGCATGACTTGTAAAACATGGACTTGTAAAACATCAGTTGTAAAACATGGACTTGTAAAACATGGACTTGTAAAACATGGACTTGTAAAACATGACAATGTACGAGCGAATTTATTATCGATGATATGTTTCTCTATATGTACACCTATATAGAGAAACAGGTAAAAATACACGAATTATTCTGCTGTGCTCGCTTGCCCCTGCTTCCACCTTATTTTGCCCCCGGAAATGGACAGACATTAGAGAGGTTAAGATACCCCGGTTCCGGTTTACGGGTACGAGTATCGCCATTTTGTTTACCAATTTTTGCTGATGTCAGCAATTTTACCCGTAATTTCTACCCGTTTCGCCGCGGTAAACCGTAGTCTACACGTATAAAACGACAAACGGGTACGGGTGTTTTCTGTTTACTATTTTTGGGCCGTCTAAATAGTACAATATTTCAACATCTTACCCAAATACATAATGCACATATGCTGGTCAAAGTATTCAACAATTTATGGCGAAACTCAACAGCGAAAGTTGCCATTCTCTTATTTCTCTGATCGGTTTTCTCACGCCGTAGTATCTTGGATTTCTTAAGTTACAAATTATTCCCCGATTTACGGGTACGGGTACGTGTATATCACCCGTACCCGTAAACCGGAATCGGGGTATCTTAACCTCTCTAATAACGAAATAAATTGGACCGAGTCAACATAATTTAACTTCAAAAGTATTTAATCCTTTTTTGCATATCTATGTTAAATAGTTTTTTAACTAACATTTTGACTAACATTTTGTCGGATTATAAACATGCAATCCGATCCGATGCACACCTCTAGTACAGTAAGTTTAAAGGGTTCGTAGCAGTCTTTAAATATACCTTCAAATGACGCAACCAAACAAATCACAACATTTTAACATATAAAGGGATATTTGTGTGTGTTGGTGTAATGTACTCAGGTGAATATGATGTTTGTGATGTTACTCTGAGTGTATATCCACACCGGGAAAGCTTGTAAAATATGCCTGGCCACGGTTGGAATCGAACCTACGACCTTTGGAATACTAGCCCAATGCTCTGCCAACTGAGCTACGTGGTCTGGTCGGTTCGAGTATGTAATATTTCGGAACTGAGTCTAGGTTCCTTCGATATCAGTTAATCTAGTAATATGATTTTTTCTGTGTTGGTGTTATGTACTCAAGTGAATACGATGTTTGTGATGTTACTCTGAGTGTATATCCACACCGGGAAAGCTTGCAAAATATGCCTGGCCACGGTTGGAATCGAACCTACGACCTTTGGGATACTAGTCCAATGCTCTGCCAACTGAGCTACGCGGTCAGGTCGGTTCGAGTTGACGATATTTCGGAACTGAGTCTAGTTCCTTCGATATCAGTGTATATATAAATGGGCTTGTGAATTAAAACAGATCATAATTTTAGAACAAATGAAGATCCAAGCTTACGGACGGAAAGCTTTGCAATAGACAATACAGTATACGTGGTGTTTTCCACAAACGAAAATAGACATTCTTTGAGAAGTCTGAATCGTACGAAAAAGCGATGTTTCAATTTTTTATCTTAACCCATTCTGGTGTTAGAGTGAAAAATAATAAAGCTCAATGGTTTAAGCCACGCTACGAACCCTGTTTACAAATAATCTTAACAGCTAAATTAATTGTGCATATTTAGACGTTCTACTGGTCTCAGACCTGGAAAAAGTGTTCAATGTTCCTCGGATCCTGAATTTGCCTTTTTCAAATGTTCCTCAATTATATTGGTTGTAAAATTGCTGAGGAAACAAAACAAAAAAATATCCTTTAACAGGATATGAAGAACACTTCGCAATCTCAAAATCGACTCAAATGGCATATAACTAAATATGTTTCCTTAAAATTCTCCCTGAAAGTGCGCGTGAAAAATTCAAAATGTTCCTCAATCTTGTTGCTAAGGCAAATGTTCCTCAGGATCCCGAGATCCCACCTTTTTCCATGTCTGGACGTTCTACTGGTACTTTAACTACTTACAAAAAGAAAAAGGTTGCTTTTCACTAGATCGTGTTACTAAGTGTTATTACATATATTATCAATGTTTGTTTTTTTTTTGGGGGGGGGGGTGTTGTGTTTGTAACTTGTTATATTTGTTACATTCACTTTGTAACCCTACTATATTTCCACCATTTTGTTGCTGCAAATGGGGAAGTATAGTTTATGCGTTTAAATTTCGGATCAATTCGTTCATATTTATTCCCCTCCTGGTATATTCAGTGACCGCTGGGTGTTGCAAAACCTCTATTGCGGTGGGGCGTTTCGACGGATCCTCCTGAAATATAACAGAACATCAAATTTTAAAACCTTTTCATGACAGAACATTGCAAAATTTAAGTTATTACGACCATTTTTTATCGGTCAAAAATCATTGTTTTACTTACATCTAAACAGGATTGGATGAGGTCTGCGAGTTTTTTGTCCATCTGTTTGAGTTCAGGTATTTTTTCCTAGAATGCACAAAATAAATCAATGTATAGAATAACTTTCATCACAAACAAAATTAAAATTGCATACAAATAAGCAATATTGGAAAAAAATTTGTAGGTGCAACCATGCAAACTAGTATGGAATTGGCACCCTTGCTCTGTGATTCCGGTGCAGTGTTCGCACCACTGAGCCACGCAGCTACAATACAGACATACACTTTTACTTACGTTCAGAAAGTTTTTTATCAGCTGTTCGGTGTAGTGGATGAACAAAAATTTGTTCATATTTTTTACCGTCTTCAGTGCGAGTATATTGCGCTAAAAAATGAAAACAAATTCTGCTTTACAATGTCAATACACCATTCCAGAAAGTATGTCATTTGGCTATCGAGCCTTGTTTTTGTGTATGTGACAATAGTTAAATCCAAGCCTCTCAATCACGAAAACAAGGCTCTATAGCCAAAGTGATGTACTTTCCGGAAGCGTCTATTGCCTATATTGGTGGTCAACCAGCAGTTATCAGAGTGAGAAATTAATTATTTTCATTATACAGAGTAGTCTTTCATTTGTAAATAGAATTGAGAGACGTAGTTTAACCCATTGAGCGCCAGTGCTCTTCCTTGACGAGTAAAATCGTCTGGCGTTGGACAGAGTAAAATAATAAAGTAGGGTGCATTAGGGGGCACAAAGCAACTAAATGGGTTAAGTTGTCCACCATCTGTTGCGTGGTAAAAGCATTGTGAAACCCATCTAATCATAATGTTCATCACAGCTATAAAAACAGAAGTGAAAGGATGCATGTGTAGCAATGAACACCTACCTGAAGTCGGTTGAAATCACGCAGAAACAACATTTGAAGCAAGAACATGCCCATGTTCCACACATCTGCTGGACGACCATGTGAAACTTGCCGCAGGACCTGTAACGAAACGAAAGAAGTTTTAGATATACAGTGCAAACTATCGAGTGTGTTGTTTTAATGGGCTTTAGAAGGCAAAAAATATATATGTGGGTTTCCGGTTTCCCGACCCTACCTAGCTTTTGGACGTCGAAATCCCGACCCTAAACTTTTTTATTGGATCATGTTTGTAAGTGTTTCCACTTAGAGGAAAAAGTTTGTGGAAAATTGAAATTTGAGGCAATATTAGGGAAATATATCTTTGGATGTGGAAGCACTGACTAAACAAAATGGTGTCCGGTTGTTAGGAAAATTAAAAAAGTTTAAAAAAAAATTAAAACCGACCTAACCTAAGTTTTTATAAGAAGAAATATATTTCCATCCACATATTTTTTTTTTGCCTAATGATGAATATACTATTATACTGTATGTGTTAAATGTAGAAAGGCCTGTCCTTTAATAGATGGTGTTTTAAGATGTTGTTACAGCATTTTGTAAAGTCAGTCACGTCGGAACATTACGTCATTATGCTGCTGAGTCATGTGCAGAGTCATATTTTTACTACATTTATCGTTTATGTAATATCTAAAAATAGTATTTATGTAATGTTCGGATAGTATAAAAGCAGCAATCTTTGGGATAGTATAAAAGCAGCGAAAGCATAAGCTAGAAAAAGATTAGAACTGCTAATTTGTTGAAGTTAATGTTCGCTATTATTCAAGAAGGCCAATTTAATATTGCTGGAGTTATTGACTTATTGTCGTCGCAAAGTTAACAAGACTTAAATAAAGGGAACTAGCTATACTACAAAAGTGTGAAAGGACAAAGTCTGAAAAGCAAAGCTGGGTCATTGTCAATAAACAGATAAGTAAAAATTATCCCGATTCTTCGTTTTTTTAGTTTTCCTTTATAAATAAATAATTTAAAAATAAGACTCTTCTGTTTTCAAGTCTTTCTTGTTACGGTAAACGTAACACTAGACTGTTCGTTAAGCCCTGATCAAACGAGAACGCAAGTCATCGCAAGTAAACTTGCCCTGAATTGCGATGGGACCGATCAAACAATACGCAAGTTATCGCAACAATTTACAATATTTGGCCCGTGTGCCGGGTAATTTTGCGAAGTTGCAAAATTGTATGGCCGTCATTTAAACCCATTTAAAACGAATGTAAAAACGTTTGAAAATGCCATGTAAAATGAAGCGAAAGCTGCCAACATCACTGTGTTATTTTCTCTACTTGCATGAAACGTGGAAAAACAAGAGAATGGATTAAGCGAAGATCAGAAAAAGGTCATTTTTATAACATCTTGAGAGAGCAGGGGACTAGGGAGTATGGTTTCCTTTGATATATATGGAAACTGGTCTCAAAAAACTTGTCTGAACTTGCGCTTCCTGATCAAACGTATCGCAAGTGCTCGCAAATTTAAAAAAGCTTGCGATGAAGTTTGAACCAGCTCAAATCATTCGCAAGTCAACGCAAGTTGGTGGTCAAACGAGGCGCAAGCAAGTGCAACTTAAAACTTGCGATGACTTGCGTTCTCGTTTGATCAGGGCTTTACGCTAATGTAATAGATTTGCCCTTATGAGTGAAATTTTGATCTAGATATGCCTGGACAAAAATTTCATCACAGCTTGAAAGAGCATCACAAAATTAGTAATATTCCAAAGTTTCGTTGCGAAATGTTGTAAAATGCGGATAATATAGTCTTGCGAAATTTGCCGTTTTTCAGTCGTTTTGTGTTACGTATGGGAAATTGACAGCCCAATCGGGTGTTGGGGCATCAATTTCCCGTTTGTAATACAAAATGACTGAAAATTGCAAACTTCGCAAGGCTATATTATCCGCATTTTACAACATTTCGCACCGAAACTTCGGAATATTGCCAATTTTGTGATACTCTTTCAAGCTGTGATGAAATTTTTGTCCAGACTTGTCTAGATCAAAATTTCACTCAAAAGGGGAAAGGTCTATTAAGAGGTCGCCGTAATTGGGGTAACCTGTGGCATTTTCCATGGTGCGACACGTTGTATTTTTGGTAGTTGCCAAATTTCGTTAAATCATACAGTACAATACCTCTGGAGCTATTAAGCCAGGAGTGCCCTTAGGATTCAAGCCGGGCATTGTGAACTCGTGGTGCAGTCTCTTCACAGTGTCGTAGTCAGCCAATTTCACCCGGACTAGATTGTCCTTGATAGACAGCAACACGTTTTCTGCCTTCACATCTTTGTGAATGACCGGGATGTGGAGGTGATGAAGATGTTTCAATGCATCAAATATCTGAGTCCAGTAAAATATGGCCTCGTCCATTTCTAATCGTTTTCCATCATTGACCAACTTGGAAAGATGGTCATTGAGCGAAAACTCTATAAATGGAAGAACAAAAATTAAAGTATGCCAGTGATAGCCATAGGGAACATTCATGCCGATTTCTTAACGATAATTTCCAACGCAAAAGTGGACTTTCATTCAGTGCAAAATGTCGCACAATCGAATTTTTGCAATCGCTTTCTTTTGAAATCCGTGTAGTCATCTACAGCTAAAGAGATTTGTTCGGCTTGACTGTTTGTATTTAAAGTGCCTATGACACGAAATTTCACCCCAAATGTTTATGATTGCATTGCAAAGATCGCTTAAAATGACTTAATAATAATATATATATAATAGATCGGTGAACACTTGTGTCAGGGGATCTAGAAGGCCCTTTAAGAACGCAAATGACTTCATAGATGATTTTAATGTAAATGCTAATGCAGCAGAAATTTTTTAGATACTTTTATAATGGACTATTTATATGGATAATTTTCTTTTTTAACTATACAATTGACATATTTTAATAAAGTTCTTATGTATATACTTAAAATGACTTAATAATTTTTTTTTATAGAATTTTGGTAACTTGCTTCCTTTGCAAGATATTCAACTTTGCTTCATATGCAAATATCACCGGTGTGACATCACATCACATGACATTTTGAAAGCGCAATATTTTACCTTGATAGAATATTTTTACAAACAAAGACAGAGGGTTAATTACCAGTTATGACAAGGTTTTTAGATACGTATTCGTCAAGAAAACTATACTTTTCTATAAACTCATTATGCGATGTGACGTCACACCGGTGATAATTGCACATGAAACAAAGTTGAATATCTTGTTACCAAGTTACCAAAATTCTATAAAAGAAATTATTAAGTCATTTTAAGTGATCTTTACAATGCAACCATAAACATTTGGGGTGAAATTTCGTGTCATAGGCACTTTAAAAAGAAAGCGATTGCAAAAAGTCGATCGCACAATATTTTACACTGAATGAAAATCCGCCTTAACGGCCTTAACATGTTACTGCAACCAAAGATTGTTAAAACCGTTAATAAATGGCATGCTTCACATATTAATTTAACATATTGCGTTAAATCGCAACGTGTATCAACGTGCAATGCATATAATTTTTAAAGTGCGTATTTTATCAACAATCAGTTTTGGACAATCGGAAATATAGATAATTCTACCGATTCCGATAATCTGATTGTCTACCGATACGGCAAATATTGTCCCGATACCGATTATAGGTCAATCACTAAAGTTTATGTTTTAAAATATGTTTTTATTCATTAAAATCAAAGATTTACACAAAACAAGTGCAACTCCAAAGATCGATAACATTTTTTGCTGCGTAGCGAGCGAGCCTGAAGCGAGCGAGCGAAGCGGCAATCTATTGTAATTTGAATTGTGCAGAGAGGGACTTTTGAAGTAAATTTTATTTAGCGCATTGCATTGTGGACTTGTGGTCATGCTCAGTTGTTGTGCGCAGTACACATCCACCCAATTCCACGTGTTTTGTCCACCCGATTCCATACACTAACAGACAAGCGGATTAGGTTTTGGTTTCTTAGTTCAATACATGCTTCCGTAAACTATATGTGTGTGCTCACCATTCGCTGGCTCGCTGCAAGTAATAACTGTGCTTTATATAATATGTACTATTTAGTTCTATTTGCTCTTAATGCCCGCAGCAATCCCTACTTTGCAGGTACCTTAGTATATTTATCATTTTCATTTTTGACTCACAGATGTTTTTATCAATCTTTGGAGTTACACTTGTTTTGTATTTTTGTTAAAATACTCAGTGGTTTTAAAAAAATTTGGTTTACTGAAAGCTTTTATATGATCATTGTTTTTATTGCATTAATTGCGATATTATCAAATATCATGATAATTTCCTAGACACTAATCATATGATTTTGAAATATCACCCAACTCTGGTGTCACCAAGATCTTACATTCAACAACTAATATAACTGAGCTGTCCTGTAATATTACAACTCTGATCAGCTCAAGAACTGAAAACATGTGCAGTTGATGAGCCCAAAATACTAACCACATCTTTCCATCACGATACGAAAGTGGCGATCATTCGGATCCATCTTCTGGAGAACAAGGTAGGTCTCAAGAAAGTTTGGATGATTTGATGTCTGTTCAAAGACATATTTTTCATCATCTTCTACTTTATCAGTCTAAATATATTGACACAGCTTCAGTAAATGCAATGTGACAAATGGCCTACATTATACATACAAGCTGAAGTGAGCTGCGAGTTTCACTACACACTGTCATGCAGCAGATGATACTCCAGGCATGGATTTTTTTTTTGGGGGGGGGGGGGGGCACACACCCCAGAAATGATTTGCACCCCCAGAGGCATTTGGCACCGCCCCCAAAAGTTTTTGCACCCCCGCAAATTATATATATTTTGATTTGATAGTTTCATATTTGATTATTCTTACTACTAAATTTGTAAAATTACCAATATTATGGTCTCAGATCTTGCCATGCAGGCCCAGAAAACAGATTTTGTTAAACTTTTTCCTTGGCTTTTCCGGGCGTTGCCACCATGCCCCGGTCAAAGCAAGCAGCAGCACCCCCCAGATATTTATCCACACACCCCCGAACGAAAATCTGTCTCTGTGATACTCAACATTTGAACAGATAATCTAGTATCTGTTCAAATGCTGCATAATAGTGTATAGTGAAACTGATCTTAATTCTTTCCATGTTGTAGTTCTGTAATACACCCTTTTCGATAATTACATCATTTAGCCTGGGAGCCTCGCTCTCATGAATCATTTGGCAATCACCTTGCATAATTTACTAATGAGAGCGAGGCTCCAAGACCAAAAAGTATGTGTGACGTAATTATCGAAAGGGTGTATTGAAGGCAAAGAGTTCGCAATAGATGGGCTATTATTATTGTACTACCGTCGCTTGCAACTATGGATGAATGGTTGTTGATAAAAACATTGCCTATACGTGTGTAGCCTGAGTACAGCCTTAATTCTGCCGTTCTACAGGAGAATTTACAGCTGTACACAGGCTAATTCGTGTGAGAATCTTCAATGTTTGTCAAGAGCACTTAAATTCACAGGTTTTAATCGGATCAGCCAATCATTCATGTTCCACCAGCTCCAAGCTGATTGGCTGAGCGAATTAAAACAATCAAATCATCATCGCAAATATTGAACTTTGTCATGAGAATAGACAATAAGTTCTTTGTATGATTGCATGGCGATAAAACATAAAATAGTTTTGTTTGTGGAAACACCACGTAAATTTATTACTGCAAAGCTTTCGATCCGTAAGTCCGGATCTTCATCAGTGCTAATAATATGTGACTTGTTTAATTCACACGCCCTTTTTATATATAAAAGTGTCGTGATCTGTTGGCTCGTGTCATTTAAAATTTTATTAAACGACACATAGAATCATAGATTAGGTAAGAACAGATGTGTAACTTCAGTAAAAAAGTTGTCCCACGGTCGCCATCTTCCTAGCAAGTGTCGCTCGCGTGACAATTCGTCATTTGGCAATAAGTCATTGCTTTCAAAATGCTTTCAACACCTTTTCCACAACTTTAATTACTTTTAACAACTTTGAACATTGAACAAATGATGCTCTTGATTGTCTAATCCATAAATTTCGATGCAAAAAAGCTGCAATAATATGCAAACGTTCGTGTTTTCCAGGATGCCATATTGCTAGCAAGTGTCATGGCGTGAGCATGACTTGTACATCTAGGGAAATTTGAGGACACGAAGTCCTATTAAGTTACACTGGTATATACTTCATCTGTGATAGAATAAACAATGTTTTATCTGCAACCATTCATCCTTAGTTGCAAGGGACGGTATTGTGTTATCACTCAACATACATTTATAAGAGGAAGAAAATAATATAATTCTTTTCTACATAAAATCTACAGGATTTATCCAATGCTGCTATTTTTGAAAACAACATGAATTTTGAAACTTTATTAGAAAATATATAGGGATTTTCACAGGATTGAGGCTTGGCAGGTATATATGCATGTCCATTCAATGTGATATAGTAAACTTTAAAGTTGGATACCAGTCTGCATGGTATCACTCTTGGATACTGCTAAAAATATCTATTTCACACCAAGGCATGAAACACCACCTTTTACCATAATGAAAACCAACAGCAAGGTATTAAGTTCAATAGTCACCTTTTTTGCAACAAAATCTCTACACGACAAGTTAAAATATTTCTTCTTGACATCATCAGATATTTCCACATTGTGGACAGCTCCATGGCCACCTTTGCCAAGGACATCCAAGAATGCATAGTGTTCGTCTTCTTTAAAATGAGTGGTATCACATGGAAAACTTTCATTCTAGAGCAATCAGCAAAATAAATATTGATTGATAACAGTTGTGGGTGTGGTCAAGATGTGATCACAATAGTAAATTATGCACCCATATTATATATGGTGTACGGTGATGTGTTGGCTTTTTAACCACTCTACTGTAGGGCTTGAGATTGGAATTTTTTCCTGGTATCCAAATTCTGAAAATATATGTATGTTTCGATGTACTATATTTTTTCTTCCAAAAGTTCACTAAAAATGTAAAAGGTTTGCCCCATCACTATGTTAACAGCAACATCATACTATTTTATACTCCTTCATTTGATAGAATGCACAATCCAATTAATTAGACAGTGAAGCAGGGTTCGAATTAAATATTTAAAAGTGAATAGCAAATTTCTACCCATTGACTTGTGCAATAAAAAGTGAATAGCGAATTTCTACTAAGTGATTACTGTGTTGCATATACAGTAAAAAAGGATTAAGCATTCGATCTTCAACCAGAAAGGCTGTACATGTTATAATAAGAAAGATTAAATTAAGTAGTCTTTATTTTTTTGGTAGTTGTGTAAGATTAACAAGATAGAAAACAGGCCTTAAAATATCGGTCGGTCACGGACATTGTCCGACCCATTCGTGAAATTGTCCGACGTAGAAAAGAAACCACCGGACATTCTGTCCGACCAAAGTGAAACTGAGGTTTATTGTTTGTCCGACCCGAGTGTATTGGTGTCCGACCGAACTGTAGCTTTGTCCGACGTAAATCAAAAAGTACCCTAGTCCAGGAGGCCAGGACTAGAGGCAGGCTTATATGTTAAATGGAAAATCAGAGTACTATTGTATAAAAGGTCAACTGGAAATGTTGTTTTAACGTAGTCGAGCGCGGGGCGGCAAGCGAAATGGTGAAGTGGAAAATGGGCTTAAGTTGTCGAAGTCTTTTTGATACTGCTGTTCTGGCAAGCAAGTTAATTTTGGCTTGGAAATAAGTATGAAAGAAACAAATTTTTTAATATCTTTACAACATTTACCCTACCGTTTATTCATTTGTGTCATTCAGACTTATTTCCGAGTCAGAAATGAACTGAAGGTCATCGGACATATGTCCGACCCAAAGTCAATGTCACCGGACATTTTGTCGGACGGCCCTGGAAAAGATATTTTAAGGCCTGCAGAAAAGTGAGAAATATGTAAAATTAAATAATTCCAATTATCACCCGTAAAAATTTGCGCAAAATCTAAAAGAGTTAATGGGTGATTCTAGCTATAAACTAAATTTTGATCAAGGCAAGAAGCACGAAATCCAACAGCACAGCTGGAAAGGCATCTTAGAATGAGTAAAACTGCACAGATTGGTGGCTAAATGTTCGGTAAAACGAAGAAATATAGCCCTGTGAAGTTCGCAGATTTTGTATATATTTGTCAGTACGCGCAGTAAAAATAACCACTTTTGGCTCAAAAATGGTTATTTTTCCTGCATGTAATGCGAATATATATAAAATTTGCGAACTTCACAGGTCTATATTTTCCTCATTTTACAACAATTCGCGACCAAACTTTGCAGTTTTACTCATCCTAAGATGTTCTTTCCAGCTGTTGTAATGGTTTCGTTCTTCTTGTCTAGATCAAAATTTCGTCTAGAGCTCTGGAATCATTTTGATTTTGATTAAAAGGCATTTATTCAAAGTTAGAGCAAATTAAAGTACAAACAAAATACTGTACATAAAGTAAATATGGCAAAGCTCAGAAGCAAAACATTTAACTTGCGTACATCGCATATTCTGACACATTATGAATTAAACTAGAAAGTTATTGAACAGTGAGTTAGTTGATTTGGGTTTTAAACCCAAGTGATTGTGAAATTCAAATCTGATTATATAGTTGCATGAACAAGTAACATGACATTTGACCTTTCCTAAGTGGATTTTGACACAATTTTACACTGTCAGCCTATCATATTAAAACATTAAACCAAAACACAGCTTGAGGCCATTAGGAAACGCAACAGAATTCTGTTGTCTATTCAGAAATATCAGCGCAAATGAGAGAATGATTTGCCCCAAAATACACAAAGAATTGTTTGAAAACAAACGCTTCCAACGTTATCCGTTTTACTTTTTCACATGTGAAATCTTCTCACGTTAAATAGTGATTTTTTTATATTACTGTATAGCAAAATGAGTAGCGAAATCCCAAAAACGGATAGCGAATCGCGATTCCCTATCTGTTAATTCGAACCCTGCAGTGAAGTCACATACCCGCCAAACAATCAAGTCATCTGGATCAAGACTAGGTGTCTGATGAACAATCACAGGGGCTGCAGGAACTTGGCTTGGTATGCCTTTGGCCCTGAAAGCAAAATAATGAATGAACAAGTAGTAAGAACATTTCTACAGGAGTGGGGAGGGTAGTGTGTTCTGAAACAGTAATTTTTTCAAGCATGAAAACAATGGTATGGTAAAAATTATGCTATGGTGTCAAATTTAAGGCAAAAAAAGCAGTAAAATGTACATACTTTTCACAAACAATGCAACCTTTAAGTTTGCAGATCTCAGTATGATATGTCAGCACACACAACCACACTTTGCACTTGTGACATCTACATGTACCATTTGTTTCTTCAAAATGGTGTTGGATCAGAATTTCAACCTGCAAAAGTTTATTTTGGCATAAACTAATAATCATAAGAGAGGGATGTACCGGTAGTTCAATTTTCTTGCTCAATAACATGCAACACTTAAATATGATTGCCATCGACTTTTTGTAACGTTCAAATATTTTCACAAATTTACTGAAGGATTTTAATACCTACCCTATGGCATCTAACACAGGGTCTTTTATCACAGAAGTTGTAATGGTTAATACAACCATTTAATATCATGAGAAAC